TCCATTCTCCTCTCGGGATCTTGGGCATGCACGCACACGCGCCCAGTGTGAGTTTTAAGCCACCGGGTCCGGGATGCGAACCGTGGTCGACTACATGGGAGTCCAGCGACATAGCCATTACGCTAACTGCTGGTTCCGATATCCTCTATTTTTTCCCTACTTGGAAATGAGTTACAGTGTTCCCTTGCTGGAGATAAATTATTTGATTCTCCCGTCCTTGAGGCTCTTCTCTGATTTTTAGTCATTTGGTAATGTATTCACTTTTGGCTAATTTGTTGGAGAAGGATTCCATGACTGTGAGCTCGTGTATGTCCCTTACTGCATCCTTCATTCTTCACCACCTCCTTATACACCCCGGTACAACACTGCTGAGTAAATGCCTGTAGTAAACACTTACAAGAGGTCAGCAGTAGTGCAAAGAGAACAGCACAACACCAATGTCATCTTTTAAGATATTGGCTATGGGGCCAGATGGTATCACAGCAGAAAAATTCAGTGTCTCTGTGAGGCAACCCTACATGGGAAGGCTCCTCATGTAAGTCTAGAGACCTCCCTGGGTATGCTGGGCATGTGTGTGCCCATGATCTGGGCTGGCTACATAAGGACCCTCTTGCAGATGCTCAGTTTATCTCTGTATTTCTTACTCATTGAAGAAATAAGTGAATATATATATGTATATATATATTAATATATATTAATAGAAATTTTTGCTATAAGGCATATGTGCTTGCCAGAGAGACAGAAAGTGAGAAATCACCCTCTGAGGAGATGGCCATGCCACCATCCCTTCTCCTCCATTCTCCTCTCAAGATTTTGGGCATGCATACACATGCACCCAGCGTGCGTTTCAAGCCACCAGGTCTGGGATTTGAATCATGATTGGCCATGTGGGAATCCAGGGATAGAATCATTTATTCCATCTGCTGGTCCCAATAAGTGAATTATTAAAAAATGAAAAAATATATATTGGCCATATCTTCCCTAAGATGTAACCCACCATTCTCTCTGTGGGGAGTTTCTCCTTGGCTGGGTCCTGCCATGTTTGTGCTTCTCCTCTCTGTGGGGCTCCTCCTCCTCTCCTATGGACTCCTCTGCCTTGGCCTCACCCCTACATTGCTATCAATGTGCTTTCTTCTCCTCCCACCCCCACTAGGTTCTACATCTGGTTTTATACAGTAGAAGCTCATGAAAATGCTCTGGTCTCCATACTCAGCAACCAATGGAGACTTCGCTGTTGCTGTTCTGGGTCAGATTCCTAGGCATGGTTCTCACACAGCTTTGGCCAGAGCAAACCAGGAGTCTTCTTCCTATAGTAGTATCAACGGACTTTCTCATGCTATGCCCACCCCAGAGATGCAGGATGCCCTTTTCCATCTGCCCTCCCCGACACACATTTAGAGCCATTGTCCAAGCTGCTGCTTTTGCTGAGAAAGCAGCTCAAGGGGGCAGAACTAAGGTGAGACTGGATATTAGAATACCCAAGTTAGAGCCAGTTCTGTGGCTTCACAGTTAAGGCAGCGGATCCCACCTGGCAGCTATGTTGTTCAAGTCCCACACCTGGTGGCTTGAGAAACATGCTGGGTGCAAGTGTATGCATACCCAAAATCCTGAAAGGAGGGAGGAATGGAGGGATTGCAGTGTGACTATTCCCCATGGGAGGTGCTTTCCCCCTCTCCCTCTCTCCCTGTCTCTTGCTGGTGAGTACACATGCTCTCTAACCAAAAACAAAAACAAAAATATAAACAAACATACAAAAAAAAAAAAAAACCCCGAAATCTGGGTTGTAGTTCAGAGTTCTTTATGTCTAGCTCCCCAACCTTGGCAGGTTTCTGTAGTGGACTTGAGTTGTCTATCTCCACAGCGTCCACTACCCCTTTCCCCACTTCTACCACCCCCACCACCCCAGTTCCAAGGGGGATCCCTGTGGTTCCGGGAGCTCCTGAGTCATTCCATTTCCCTGGCTACGGAGGCTGATTCAAGGGTGGTGTGATGGTTCATGTACATCAACCTAGCTGGGCTATGGTGCTCGGCTATTTGGTCAAACACAAGTTTACATGTTGCTGTGAAAGTAATTTTTAAATGTAATTAATGTTTGAATATGTAAATCAGAGAACCCTTCATAATATGGGTGGTCTTCATCCAATCAGTTGAAGACCTTAAGAGAAAAACAAAACAAAAACCCAAGGGGTCAACAGATGGTGTAATGGTTATGTCACTGGACTCTCACATAATCGACTGAGGTTCCAGTTCCCACATAATCGACTGAGGTTCCAGTTCCAGAACCAGCGGCTTAAACTCATGCCAGGCATGTGTGTACGTGTGCCCAAGATCCTGAGCGGAGAATGGAGGAGAAGGGATTTTGAGCGTGGCCATCCCCCCTGGGGGTGAGTTCTCCCTTTCTGTCTGTCTTTCCAGAAGCGCACCTGCTCTATAGCAAAAATCTCCTTTTAAAAACAAAAAAAAACTGGGACCAGCAGTTAGTGTAATGGCTATGTTACTGGACTCTGTGGTTCGCGTCCCGGCCCCGGTGGCTTAAAACTCACGCTGGGCGCGTGTGTGTGCGTGCCCAAGGTCCCAAGAGGAGAATGAAGGAGAAGGGATTGTGGCGTGGCCATCCCCCCTGGGGGGTGATTTCTCGCTTTCTGTCTCTCTGTCTCTCTCTGTCTGGCAAGCGCATGCGCCCTATAGCAAAAAATCTCTAAAAAAAAAAAAAGAAAGACAGAAACTGCCTGAGTTTTCCAGCCTGTCTGCTTTGTTGATTTTGAATTCAAGGCAGCAACCTCAACGCTTACCTGAATTTCCATCCTGAGGGTTTCCCTGTAGATTTCAGACTTCAGACTTGCCAGCCTTCACAATCACATAGCCATTTCTTTTCTTTTCTTTCTTTTTTTTTTTTTCTTGCATATTTTGCCATAGGGTATGTGTACTCACCAGAGAAAGACAGAGAGAGACATAGAGACAGAAAGTGAGAAATCACCCCCCCAGGGGGGATGGACACGCCGCAATTCCTTCTCCTCTATTCTCTTCTCAGGATCTTGGGCACGCACGCACACGCGCCTGGCATGAGTTTAAGCCACCGGGTCCGGGACGCCAACCTCAGTCGACTACATGGGAGTCAGGGGACTTAGCCATTACACTAACTGCTGGTCCCCACATAGCCATTTCTTAACATCTCTCTTTGGGACCAGCAGATGGCATAATGGTTACATCGCTGGTCTATCACATAGCTGATCACAGTTTAAGATCTAGATCTGGTGGTTTAAAACTCACATAGGGTGGGACCAGCAGTTGATGTAATGGGTGCATCGCTGAACTACCACGTATTCGACCGTGGTTTGAGTCCCGGACCCGGTGGCTTAAACTCATGCAGGGCCCGTGTGCGTGCATGCCCAAGATCCTGAGAGGAGAATGGAGGAGAAGGGATTGAGGCATGGCCATTTCCCCCGGGAGATGATTTCTTGCTTTCTGTCTCTCTGTCTCTCTCTCTCTGTCTTTCTGGGGAATGCAGGCGCCCTATAGCAAAAACCTCTCAAAAAAAAAAAAAAAAACTCGGGTAGCTGCCAGGTCAGGCTCTGGGCCAGACTCTAAGGATCTAACGCAGACACCACCAGTCGCTAAGGCTGGACCTGCACCTCAGTACCTTCGTGTGTGAGTGAGATTACAGTGCCTACAGCGTAGGGTTATTGAGAAGATTAAATAATTGAATATATACTAAACACTTAGAGCAATGCTTGGACCATAGTAAGGGCTCGTTAAACCAGGCAATGATGATAATGATGATAATGAGAGGCCCCAGGCTGAGGAGAAACTTGACTTACAGGGAGGGCAAGAAAATGGACTCAGAGCCCTGATGTTTCTCACACCTGTGGATCAAACTGAGTGTGACGGCCATCTTACCTCTGGACTTTTTGGTGACACACACTCATGGATTATTTTTATTAAATAGTTTGTGGTTGAGTTTTCATTATTTCCATACAGAATGCAGAGCCATTTTCTGTCTTAAATGATGGGTAGCTTCTTTTTCTAGACCCGTGAGCACAAAAGATTTGACTACATACAACTCCTTTCCCAGAAAACGGAGCTACCTGCCCATTCTCTTAGCGGTGGCAACTTTCAGTGGCTCCAGGAACCCTATTTCTGCCCATCAGTAAAGAACTACCTCAACACCTCAAAGGTGATTTGCCCTTTTATGACAGTTGCCCAAAGGATTTCTGGGTAGAGTGAACTAGCATCTCACTGAGGAGGAAACTGGAATGACCTATAAACAATAAAAAGGTGATTGTTTAAGAGAAACACAAATCAAAAACATAGCAGAATACTATGTCAATTCACTAGATAGGTAAAAATGAAAAGTCTTAAAAATTCGAAGTATTGGCAGTAAATGGAGCATAGGGGACTCTGAGACCCTGTTGATGAGGATAGAAATTGTAGAGTTTGCAAAGCAGTGTGTGAAAGTTCATATTATGTAAAGCCAAAAATGTTTATGTGCTGCCTAGCAGTGCTATCGCTGCCTCTATCCATGCAGAAACTCTTGGACACATGCCTCACAAGTTCCATACAAGAACGTTTAGTACTGCATCGTTGGTAACGACAAAAGACTGACGCTCACGGACGTAGCCATGCACAAGAGAACGGATAAACGTGGCATATTAATACATTCCAAAGACAATGACTGAACCACAGTCATAGGTGAGTGTGGATAGAGCTAAAAGTCTTAACTCTGAGTACAAAAGAGCGCTTGCGGAATACCCACCAAATATCAATTCTATGACGTTTAGAAACATACATTAATTAATACACTGTTTAGGGATACATCAAGGTAGAAAAGTACAGAAATGATAATTTTTTTTTAGAGAAGGAAGAGGATGCTATTCAGAGGGGTGCCCAAAAGTCATGTATAAAGCTTTACGTCTGATCTACTGAGGGTTACATGGTGCTTGTCCTTATGTGGTAGTCTTCTGTGTGTATGAAATGCTGTTTTTATTGCTCCTCCCCTTTCCCCGCCCCCGAGGGGCGGGCCTACGCGTCCCAGCGCTTTGGAGCGCTGCTAAACTAGCGGCGTGGATGGGAGACAAAGCCCGGAAAATTTTGAACGCATCATGGACTGTCAGCAACTAACTGCGAGGCATAGACTCCAGCTCCGTATGGCATAATACCAGTCCGGGTTTTCCCACACGCTCCAGACTCGGGAGGAGCCTTGAGCCCTCGCAGACTGCAGGCCCCTAGGGGCTGGGCGCGCGCGCGGAGTCGGTGTTGATTGGCTGCTCCGAGCGGCGCAGGGTTTGGCGGGAACTTCGTGGCTCCGCGGGCGTGGAGAGCGGTCGGATGGCCCCGTCGCGGCGGGTGCGGCCCCCCAGGGCTGCGCGGTAAGTGCTGCGCCCTCCGAGCGCGGGCCGGAGACCGGCTTTTCTTCCTCCTCGCCTGCCGCGGTTTGTGTCTCTCGGAGCTGCTGGTGCAGCCGCTTGTGATTTGCTTCCCCGTAGACGCCTGGTTCTAACCGCTCAGCGCCTTGGTTTCCAAGGCAGGCGCGAGTAGTTTGAAACGCCGTCCTTCCGGACCTGCTGAGCGCCGTCACTTGGCCTGAAGATTGGTTTTGGCTAGCAGGGAGCCGGGGCGGGTCTGCATTCCTCGAGACCTGTTTCAGTAATTACAAACCACATACCTTGAGGCTGAACCTAATCGCTGGCTGATTGGCTCAGATGCCGCTTGTTATTCTTAAGTAGGGTAGGACAAGCGACATCTTCCCTTGAAGGGGCAGGCATTTCAATCCAGGCTGCAAAACTGCGCCCTAAGAGGCTTCATAGATTGCTTGGCTCATAGCCCGCTAGCAGTCGGCAGAGAGTCTTCATCTATCTGGATCGGGCTTGGCTTGCTGCAGACTAGACCTCCGCCAGGAGCTCTGCGGAGGGGGGCGTTCCTCCCAGCTGAGGAAGACTGCTTGGAGGAGGTGGTTTGAGGATGGAGGTTAGGGTGGAAGACCTGGGGCTGGACTCCGAAGGAGACAGGAAACAAGCTAGATTTCTGTGACCAGTGGGGAAGAACTGACTCCCATAGTGGAGAGGTGGATTAGAATATAGTACCCTTGCTGGTTAGCTGAAAAGAATTAAACTTTGGGAACCAGCAGTTAGCGTAATGGCTATGTCGCTGAACTCCCACGTAGTCGACCGCGGTTCGCGTCCCGGACCCGGTGGCTTAAAACTCACGCCGGGCATGTGTGCATGCGTGCCCAAGATCCCAAGAGGAGAAGGGATTGCAGCGTGACCATCCCCCCTGGGGGGTGATTTCTCGCTTTCTGTCTCTCTGTCTCCTCTGTCTGTCTGGCGAGCGCACACGCCCTATAGCAAAAACCTCTCCAAAAAAAAAAAAATTAAAAAAAAAAAAAAAGACATGAGCCTGCTGAAACAGTTTAGGCTAAGGAGTTTATGTGACCTGGTTTCTAGTCCTATTTGTTTTACTTTCTCATGTGACTATTGATAAGTCACTTTTGAACCCTGCAAACATAATCTTGTAAAATTGCCGTAAGACTTACTTGTTCCTCCCTAGATTTTGAGAATCCAATAAAGACTGGGAATTAGAAATGCAACTCTCAGACCCTGTCTTAGACTTACTGAATTAAATCACAAATAGTTCACTCTAGCACACTCAAACACACACACTTAATATAAGGTACATACATCCAGTGCAATCTTATCTATTCTGTATCTCCTTTTTCTAAAATGCTGGAGATGAAGAAACCTTAAAGGATATCATAGGGCAGTTGATGAAACTTTATTGTAGGCTGTAGATTAGATAATTATATGTGTTAGATTTCTTGGCTTAAAAAGTTACAATGTGACTATGCGGGATAACGTCCTCTTTCTTAGGAAAGAGGTACTGAAGTTCTTAGGGTTAGGTGTAGAATGTCTCCAATTTACCTTAGACATAGAACACACAAAGCGAGGCCAGCAGGTGGCGTGATAGTTAAGGCCCTGGACTCTCACAGGGCTGACATAAAGAGTCCTGGGGGGCGTAGTAGTTAAGGAGTTGGACTCCCACATCGTCTACCACGGTTTAGGTGTGGGACCAGAGGCTTGAAATTTATTCCCGGCGCCTAGCATGTGTGCCCAAAGTCCCAGGATGAGAAAATGGAGGAGAGAGGATTGCTGTGTGGCCATACCCCTATGGAGTGATTTCTTGCTTTCTGTCTCGGGCAAGCACACGTGCCCTACAGTAAAAATCTCAAAAACAAGCCCTGGTGGCTTGAAATTCATACCTGTGTGTGTACATGCATGCCCAAATTCCTAAGATGAGAATCTGTGAAGGGTGATTTTTCATTTCCTCTCTTTATCTCTGAGGAGCAGTCAGACCACTATGCCTTATGGCAAAACCCTTAAACGCACACGCACACACACAAAGTAAATGAGACAAAATGTAAACAATTGATGAACTTGATGAAGAGTGGACAGAAGACCCTTGTACTAGGTTTTGAAATTAGGTAAAAGGTTGCTCAAAAAATATTGGTTCAGGGGCCAGCTAATGGTGTGGTGGTTAATGCTGCTGGATCCCACACGGCCGACTTCACAGTTGAGTCCTGCACTGGCGACTTGAGAGACACCCTGGGGGCATGTGCACCCGAGCCCAAGATGCTGAGAGGAGAATGGAGGATGCATCTTGACCATCCTCCCTAGGCGGAGATTTCTCACTTTCTCTTTCTTTATCAGGCAAGCATATGCACCCTATAATAAAACTAAACTAAAATAAAACCTCTTTAAAACAATATTGGTTCAGGCATCAAACTGATTTCATTCTGCACAAATATATATTTGAAAATAGTGCTACAATCTGCATAACATGTTTTAAACTCCGGGACCATGTGTAGTGAAATAACCAGAATATCCCCAGAATCCTTATATAATGCCTGGTGTGTGGAAGATACTATATATTCACTGACAGCATTATTATTAATATAATGCCATATTTTTTCTTTTTTAGATTTTGCCATAGGGCACTGTGCTCCTCAGAGAGAGGAGAAGTGAGAAATCACCCACAGGAGATGGCCATGCCACAGTTCCTTCTCTTGGGATTTTGGTCACATACACAGGTGCCCAGTGTGTGTGTTTTCTTTTTTCTTTTTTTTTTTAAATATTTTATTTAACTTAATTTATTATTATTATTTTTAATTTGACCAGAAAAGGACAGAGTGAGTGAGTGAGTGAATGAAAGAGAGAAAGTGAGAAAGCAAGCCACCAGGTCCAGGACTCAAACCATGGCCAACCATGTGGGAGTCCAGCACCCTTAACCACCACACCACCTGCCAGCCCCTAGCCAGTGTGTTTTAGACCCCAGATCTGGGACTAAAACCCTGGGGTCTGCCATGTGGAATTCACTGTTTTAACCACTATGCCACTTCCTGGCCTTGATAATATATTTTTTTCTACCAATATTATTTCCAGTTTGTTTGTTTGTTTTCCAGTCACCCTTGTTAACACTGTTTAAGCTTATTGAAGCAATGTAACTTTTCGTTTTTATTCTAATGCCCAATGGAAGCAGTGTGAAGAGGGGAAAGAGAGGAGGCCCTGGATTTGAACTACTGTGGATTTTAATGGAGGGTGTTCTCCTTCCAAGCTTTGTGTTGCTTTGGGCAAGTATGAATCTGTCATGAAATTTACTTCTGTCCTTCAGGACTCTTAAAATTAAATGAGAAAATGGATGTCCAAGAGCCAGTCACAGGATGGAGCAGGTGTCGGTGCTGCTTTATAAATGTTAGTGCATTTCCCCTTTAGTGGTTTCTGCAGAGACAGTCATTGTTACTGAGTGGGACTTCAGGAACCAGGGTAACAGCCGCATTAGGAGTTTTCCATGACCCTGTGGGGACAGAATTTTATATATTTTATGATTCGACCTGCAGAGTTTGTGGAGTACAGGTTCTACGTTCTAAAAGAAATTTGCCATAACTTAAATTTCATTGAATGCACACTATTAGTGCAACTAATGATATAATTTGGAAAGAAAATGTATGGAAAGTATCACAAATTATGGTGTTTTCCCCATTATTTTAAATAGTTTCTAATTCTTTTTGTATTTTTGTTTGCTTAATAGTGCAAGATCTTCAAAGAACACTTTAAGAAAAGCACATTCTGCGGAAGTTGTAAGTTATCATTATTTTAGTGTAAATTTCTTACAGTTGTGATTTAACATTTTCTGGGAACCTTAGAGTTTTGTAGATGTCACTTAGTAAGGTCGGTGTTTTGTTTTAAAGAATTATTTTATTCAACTTTATTTATTTATTTTTAATTTGACCAGAGAGTGACACAATAAGAAAGAGAGAGAGAGAAGGGAAGCGAGAGAGGAAGTGAGCCGCCAGATCTGGGACTCGAACTATGGTCAGCCATGTGGGAATAAAGCCCCTTTAACAACATACCACCTGCTAGCCCCAGTAAGGTCAGTGTTTTATTGTGTTCCTTTTTCTCCCACTTTCTTCAATATAATTGAGATAATTACCTTTCTTAACATTTGAAAACCTTTTTTTTCCTGGGCCTAGGTTGGTTTTCTTTTCATTTAGAAAACTGAGCTCATGCATATGACTTTCTGTATTCTGCTTCCTTTCACTTACAGCCATTTGTGTGTGTCATAGTTTTTAACAATTGTGTATGATTTCATGATATTCCACTTAGTCCACATTAATAGTTTTTTTTTTTGTTTTTTTTTTAGGATAGAGTCTTTGAGTAAATATATAAATGCTGAAAGCAAGTAGTACATTTCTTTACCATCTTTTGGCCAGAGGGTATTTGCTTACCAGAGAGGGAGAGAAAAAGCACCCACCTAATGGGGTGTGGTCATACCAAATCCTTTATCCTCCATTTCTCCAGCTAGTCAGGATTCAGGGCATGCACGTGTACATGCACCCAGCGTGATTTTCAAGCTGCTCGGACTGGGATTTGAACCATGCTGTTGATCATGTGGAATCCAGCTCCCTTAACCACCAGACCATGGGGCCAGCCCTTCTTACCACTCTTTTTTATTTGTTTAAAGAATTTTTTTTTTTAATTTTCATTTGTTGTTATTATTATTTTTAATTTGACCAGAGAGAGAGAGCAAGTAACCACCACGCCGCCTGCTGGCCCCTCTTGCCATCCTTGGTAGCTAATGCCAAATTCTTTTCCAGTGGTTGTTCAGTTAGAATGGAACGTCACATTAGCACCTCCTTTTCAGGTGGCCAGGCAGCTGAGAATGCTTTGTGTTCTCTATCTTGGCCCTGGTTTTCTCTTTCTTGAGGGTGGTCTCTCTCTAGCCTACTACCCTAGGCCCAGCTTCAGAGGCTGTCCCCTTTTCTCTCTGTGAAACCCTGGGATTCCTCTGCAGGCCTTTGCTCAGCAATCTGCTTCTACCCAACCTTGGCCAGTGTGTTCTTTGGATGAGTTTTTCTCAGCTCTCCTGTGCTTCCCAGCCCTGGGCAGCTGAAGTCCAGGCACCGTGGAGAGATTTCTCTCAACTCCTCCACTGCGTTTCCCCAGCCTGCCTTCGCTGAAAGTCCAGAGTACCTACAATGGATTTCTTTTTCTTGTATTTCCAGAGTGTGTTTAGGCCTGCCAGAGACAGAAAGAGAGAAAGCACTTCCTGTGGGACATGGTCATGATACAGTCTCTTTTCCATCTCTCCGTCTTGTTGGGATTTGGGGAATGTGCACACACGTGCTTTCAAACTGGTAGGGCTGGGCTTTGAACCGCATAGTCAGTCATGTGGGATCCAGAGCCCCCAACCACCAGGCTATGGGCCAACCCTGGAATAGATTCCTTCCACTTTTTTGTCCACATACCTCTGCATGGCAGCTGCCTTACCTATAGTTGCACCCCTTTTGTCTTAGCATCTTCAGATGTGCCAGCTCTTTTCTTTCCACCCCCAAACACTCCATGAATGATTCTTTCAGTGAGGGGTAACGTTTTTGTTTCATTTACCACTTTCATTCTATTTACTATATATCTTCCCAGAATTTTCTTATTTTCTTAACCATTTAGTATCCTTCCCCATTTTCTAGAGCTACTGTGGAAATATTTCTCATGCTATATATGTTTTGCTCTTTGTTAGGATTTGAAGTAGCAAAGTTCCTAGATTTATCAGTGTATTGTACCGTAAGTCCTAGTGTCTCTCCTTTAGTCAGGAGTTTTTACCCCTACGTACCCTCAAAATTTTTCTGAACTTTCAGGTATGTGGACATATTTCTAGGGAGAGGGTTCATAGATCAGGGATGTAGGCAGACTATGGCCTGCAGTGCGGATCTAGCCTGCCACCTGTTTTTGTACTGCCCTGTGAACTAATCATTGTTTTTGCATTTTGTTTTTCTTTCTTGAGAGAGAAACAACCCCAACAGGGACTTCACATCATGGTCCACCCCAGTCTCATCCACCCAGGATCACAGGCATGTGTGTGCGCCCGTGCATACAAAGAGACCTCAGCACAAACCCAGGACTTTGCCGTGTGGCACTAGGATTATGGAGTGCTGTGTTACCATGCAGCTAGCCTGTTTTTACAGTAGCATGACATATGAAAATGACACAAAATTCATATTTTAGTTTCTATAAATAGAGTTTTATTGTAACACACCCATCCTCATTTTGTTCTGCCTTCTCTCTGTCTTTCACACTGCCGTAGCTGAGTTGAATAATTGCATCAGAAACCTTATGTGTAGCCTACAGAGCTGGTACTTTATGGTTAAAGTTTGTCAACCCCTGCTTTAGATCATCAAAAGCCTATGTCCCTCAAGAAAGTGTTACATTTTGCTACTTTGAGCAACAAGGATAGCAAGAGTATCCTTGCTGAATAAATCAACTTTGTAGTGTTCTTTCTTTGTTAGAACCAGTTCAGTGACTTTGACTTTGTTCATTTTTAGAAAGCTGATCAGAAGCGCAAGCCTACCGATGTGTTTGATTTTCCTGATAATTCCGATATCTCAAGCATTGGGCTGAATGAAAATGACAAATATACAGAACCTTATGAAACCTTTGGTTGGTATTTTAAAATCTTTTTTTATTTTAATAATTATTTAATTTTATTTATTGTTACAATTTCTTAATTTGACCAGAGAGAGACAGAGAAAGAGGATAAGTGAGAAAACAAGCTGCCAGGTCTTAGACTCATACCGTGATTGGCCATGGAGTCCGGGGTGCCATGGAGATATTTCTCTGAACTCCTTAGCTGTGTTCCTAGCCTGCCTTAGCTGAAAGTCCACAGTGCCTACCATGGATTTCTTTTTCTTTTTAAGGAGTTAGCATCTTAACCACCACACCACTTGCTGACCCTGATATTTTAAACTCTCTAGCCTAGCATGAATTTAAAACAATGTCAGGTGGCTAGAATTAACAAAAATATAAAAGTATCTTCAAATATAAAAATCAGTTGTCTACATATAAATATGTTCTGGGAGTACTTAAAAATTTCAATGAATTTTTCTCACTTCTGAGTATATTGAAACTAAGAATGTTATCAAAGTAGAACCCTCCTACTAGCAAATGTTAACAATCTAGTCCTATTAGGACACGTACTGTTATACTCTGTAACAAGAGGAATGTAAAATACACTTCTCTCCATACTTCCCTTTGATAGAGCCATACTTTCATTTGGTAGCGTCATTAATTTAGGGAAGGTCATTAGAGAGTATGGATAATTTTCCACTCTCTCAAATTCACTGAAGCAGGGGTTGCTTCGAGAAAGTATCACCTGGGCTCCTTGGGGTGTCAGATGAACGGGGCGGTGCTGGCTGACAAGGAGTATATGAATGGTCCAAATTATGTGTCACTGAGCTCTCTAGAGATCAGAAAATGATACAGGGCCCAGCCTCTGAAGCATCATCACTCACCAGAGCTGGAAGCCATGTGCCTGCTGCAGTGTGAGTCCCCTCCCCAGTTAGCCTGACAATATGCTGGGCACCTGCATATGTGCTCAGAATCCTGGGCTGGAGGACTTGAGAGAGGGGACAGTGGTATAACTGAGTCCTGTGGAAAGCACCTCTCCTTACTGCTATCCTTCTCGTGCATGTAGTTTGTCATGAATGGAAAAAAAAGTGAAAAAAAAAAAATCAAGTGCCCCCACATTTACATAGCAGCAATCAGGCATTTTTGCTGAAATAAATTGTGCTTTTTTATTTAAAAAAAAAAAAAAAAAAAAGAGAGAGAGAGAGAGGTTTTTGCTATAGGGCGCATGCGCTTGCCAGAAAGAGAGACAGAAAGCAAGAAATCACCCCCCTGGGGGGATGGCCACGCCACAGTCCCTTCTCCTCCATTCTCCTCTCAGGATTTTCGGCACACATGCACACGCGCCTGGCATGAGTTTAAGCCACCGGGTCAAGGACTCGAACCACCGTTGACTACATGGGAGTCCAGCCACATAGCCATTACATCAATTGCAGGTACCCTGAAATAAGTTTTAAGAGAATTTCAAAAATCTATATTCTCCCTTTCTCACCCCCCCCACCCCCAGTAATTAAAACTAACAAACAAACATCAGAAAAACAGTTGGGAAGTGGCTGTGTAATTCTGATTTGGTTAGCCATTTAAACAAAGATTGTTTTGTACTCCATTGTAACAAACAAACTTAAATACTACCCAAACAGCCAGACTTCTAAAGTTGTGCTTTTTTGTCTTTCGTAGATCCTCCTTTATATAGCACTGTTATATATGCTGATGAAGAAGAACTCCGCAAACACTGCAGATCATCTATTCCTTCAACACCTCAAGGAAAAGAAACACAAAGAAGGTACGATTATACTTCCAGCAGTTGTTTACTCATGATTAATGGGATTTCTGAGAAACTCTCTATGGTAGAAGATAAAACTAATGCCTTTTAGGATATTTTGAGTCAACTTGTATTTCCTTGAGTGAACTAGGACCTGAAAACTAAAATTTTCTATAGTTGATGTTACTTATAATAATTATAATAATTCATTATAATAATATAAAACATCTTATTGTCTGAGAAAACATGACTGCAAAGGTGGTATAGCTTTAGGTAAAATAAGTAGGGCTGAGGCAGAAAGACCACCTCAGACCTCTTGCTGCCGTCTGACTGCCCCAGGTGTGTCCTGGACCAGCCCCTCCCACATCCCTTCACTGCCATTGATCCCTTGAGCCTGCACCACAGAACATGGAACAGCAGCAGGGAGGCTGGCCTTTTGCCCACCCAGGAATATTTTGACATTTCATAGTTTACTAAACCATGCAGCACTCTAACGCAACTCTTAGTCAAGAATCAAGAGTCAACAATCAAGAAAATGGTTAAGAAATGGCAGGGACAAGTCCACAAATATCGGTAATAACATTGAATGTTAATAGGTTAAATTTTCTTTTCTCGTTTTTTAATTTAATTTATTATCATAATCTTGTTTATATTACATTGAATCACATATAACTTTACAGCGTATTACATTTCTTTTTTCCAGAAGTAATACCATGCATATCAGTCAATACAAAGACATTAAAATCCCCATCATCATCATCAAATAGCTTTTTATTATTATTTTTTCCAGATTATTATTATTATTCCAGTTATTATTTCTAAACATTCAATCACTGTTTATCATTTTGCTTGTAAGAAGACTTTACCCAACATGAAATACTTCTCAGACCAGCCTAGTTGAGAATATTATACATGTCATCATTAACTGGTAATAAACCATTTCTGTGTCCCACTGTTGGATTAAATTTTCCAATCAAAAGACATAGACTGGTTGAATGGATAAATAAACAAACCTTCTATTTACTGCCTACAAGAAAGGCACCCCATGGATAAAGACAAACATAGACTAAAAGTGAAGGACTGGAAAAAGATCATTCATGCAAACAAATAAAAGAAAGACTGGGTTCACGGTACTGATATCAGACAAAACAGGCTTTAAGACAAAAACTATAAGAAGAGACAAAGGACATATAGTTCTAAAAGGGTTAATTCACCAAGAAGATGTAATACTTACAAATACCTGTGCATCCAAGCCAGGGGCACTCAAATACATGAAAGAAAGACTGCTAGATCCAAATACCCACTGGGGATCTCAATACTCACTGTCTCCTTTGAACAGATTATCTAGACAAAAAGAGATACAGGATCTTAATGACACCATAAATGAAATGAATTTAACAGACATCTATAGAACTTTGCACCCAACAACCACAAAATACACATTTTTATCACCCTCACATGAAGCCTTTTTGAAGATTGACCACATAATAGGGCACATAAGCCTTTACAAATTCAAAGGCATAGAAACTATGTACAGCAGTTTTTCTAACCATGATGGAATTAAACTTGAGGAAAAGACCTAGAAAATAACACAAACGTGTGGAAACTAAACAACCTGTCCCTGAATGACTTCACAACCATTGAAGAAATTAAAACTCAGAAGATTCATTGAAAACAAAGCTAATGAGTACACAGTTTCCATAACCTATGAAACACAGCTAAAGCAGTCCTAAGAGGGAAAGTCATAGCAATTAGTATGCATAAGAAAAATATGAAAAGGTGGCAAATAGACAAGCTAACAACACACCTCGGGGAACTAGAAAAACAACAAAACCCCCAAATAATGCCAGGAGAGAAGAAATGATAAAGATTCAAGCAGAAATAAAAGAAATGGAGACTAAAGTAACTGTCTAGATAATAAATGAAACCAAAATGAGGTTCTTTTAGAAGACAGACAAAATTGACACACTGATAGCTAGACTAATTAAGAAGAGAGAATGGAACCAGATAAATCAACTTTGCAGTGAAATACTCAATATTATAACAGATATAACAGAAATACAAAAGATCAGTAGAGAATACTCTGAGCAACTATTCCCCAACGAACAAGAAAACCTGGATGAGATAGACAGATTTCTGGACACATATCAATTACTGAGATTGAATCAGGAAGACAGTCTGACTAGATCAATAAAAATCAATGAAATTAAATCATTAATAAATAACCTATCAACAAAGAAAAGCCAAGGACCCGATGACTTCACTTTTTAAACAAGAGCTAACCCCCATCCTACTCAAACTATTTCTTAATATCCAAAAGGAAGGAACCCTCCGAAATCCATTTTATAAAGCCTCCATCACCCTCATTCTCCAAACAGACAAGGACATAACAAAGAAAACTACATTCATCTTGATGAATATAGATGTAAGAATTTTCAAGATACTAGCAAATCTTATCCAACAACACATTAAAATGATTATACATTACAACTAGGTAGGCTTTGCTCCAGGGATACAAGGGCAGTTCAACATATGCAAAACCATAAATGTAATACACCATATTAACAGAAAGAAATATAAAAGCCATAAAATCATATCAATTGATGTAAAAACAGCATTCGATAAAATACATGTCTTCATGATTAAGACTCTTAGCAAAATTGGCATAGAAGAGGTATTTCTCAACACAACAAAAGCCATACATGAAAAACCCATAATTAACATCATACAGAATAGAGAAAAGCTGAAGGCTTTTCCTCTGAGAACTGGAACAAGACAAGGCTGCCCACTTTCTCCACTCCTTTTCAATATAGTACTAGAAATCCTAGTCAATATAATCAAACAAGAGAATAAAATAAAGGCATTCAAACAGGGAAAGAAGTGAAATTATCTCTATCTGCAGGTGACATGATTATATACACAGAAAATTCAAAAGAACCCACAAAAAAACCCTCCTGAAAGTAATAAATGAATATAGTGGGAGGATACAAAATCAACATACAAAAATCTATAGCTTTTTTATACATGGAGAGGGAGAAGACTGAGGACTGAGGGAGAACTGAAGGAAGCAATCCCATTTACTATAGCCAAAAAAGTATAAGATACCTAGGAGGGACCAGGAGTTGACGTAATGGCTAGGATGCTGGACTCTCAAAGTCCCAGACCTGGTGGCTTAAACTCATTCCAGGCATGTGTACATGCGTGCCCAAGATCCTGAGAGGAGAATGGAGGAGAAATGATTGAGGCATGACCATCCCCCTGAGGGGGTGATTTCTTGCTTTCTGTTTTTCTGGTGAGTGCACGTGCCCTATAGCAAAAGCCTCTCAAAAAAAAAAAAAAGATTCCTAGAAATAAACCTAACCAAAGAAGTCAAAGACCTCTACAAGGAAAACTGAAAAACTTGATCTGGAAATAATACAACCGTATATGATATCTTGAAGCGAATCAATCCCATCAAGCTCTTGAAACATTTATACATGGGAAACTTAAATGTTAACTCTTTATTAATGTTATTTTTTTCAACAAATTTTATTAGACAGAGACTAAGTACCAAGCACTATGTGGATGATGCATTTATAATACCATAGTGGTTAAGGGAGACAGATCCCACAATGCAAACTGCAGTTCAAATCCCAGGTCTGGCAGCTTGAAAATTACTCCAGGTACATGTACGTGTGTGCCCCAAATCCCAACAGGATGGAGAAGAAATTGCAGCCTGAACACACCCTATTTGTGGGAGAGAGCTCTCTGCCTCTCCCTTCCTCTGTCTCTCTGTCTCTGGCAAGTGTACTCTGGCAATTAAGAAAAAAATAGATTGGTGGGAAGTCGAGTGAGGAACATTCTATGTAGGTGAATAGCATGTGCAAAAGCCCTGTGGTGGGAAGAAGATTGATGAGTAGAGACTGAAAATGAGAGGAGAGGGAGAGGGGTAATTCTGACAGGGTCTCACCATCTTGCCATCTTCTCATCCCAGTCCCCTAGTTAATTAGGACCACAGGCTCACATAGCTTAGATTGTTTAGATTAGGCCTCCCAAAGGCTCCAGCCACCTCTCAGCAAGGCTCTCTCATTGGCGTCACTGTGCCTGGGCCCCTCTGTGCCTTTACATTAACTTTTCCTTCTATTTTAAATATCCTTTCATCCTTGTTTTCCTGGAAAAGCATTTTCAAAAATCAGCTCAGGTGGGACCAGCAGTTAGCATAATGGCTATGTCGCTGGACTCCCATGTAGCAACTGCGGTTCGTGTCCCAGACCCGGTGGCTTAAAACTCACGCCAGGCGCGTGTGCGTGTGTGCCCAAGATCCCGAGAGGAGAATGGAGGAGAAGGGATTGTGGCGTGGCCATCCCCCCTAGGGTGTGATTTCTCGCTTTCTGTCTCTCTGTCTCTCTCTGTCTGTCTGGTGAGCACACGTGCCCTATAGCAAAAACCTCTAAAAACAAAAATCAGCTCAGGTGTTGTCATGATGCCTTTCATAATCCTCCCAGCCCTGTATCCATTTCTGGCAGATGCTTGCAAGGTCAGCCTTCTGCACTGTCCTTGTCCTTCCTACTAGATGATGAACCCTGTAAAGGAAGAGCCTCTCATTCGTAAATACACACGCACACACACATATACACATATACACACGTATGTGTGTATATGTGTGTGTGTGTTTTGAATTTATATATATGTATGTATATATATATTTATATATATATAATTTTTTGAGGTCTTTGCCATAGGGCATATGCACTCACTGGAGAGACAGAGAGATACAGTGAGGGGAAAGTGAGAAATCAACCCCCCTGGAATTTTGGGAGGAGACACATGAACACATGCACATTTGTCTAACATGAGTTTCTAGCCACCGGATCTGGGACTTGAACCACAGTCAGCCATATGGGAGTCCAGCATCGTACCCACTATGCCACCTACTGGCCCACACCTCTCACTTTTAAAGTAATTTCCATTCACCACACTTCACATTTTGAGGTGGGTGTTAAATAATGTTTGTCGTATTGAATTGAATGAAGAGATGACAACCTTCTCATCTCCCATCAGAAGTTGGAGTTATCTTTTTCTCTTCAAAGGACAAAAGTGTGTATTCCCTTCTATGTCACCTAATGATGAGCCTACCCATGAGCTTTTAGTGTAAGTGATGGCCGGTGGCCTGGGACTGGAAACCTGGAGGAGGGTGCAGTTCTCAGACACGACCACAAGGGGCAGCAGTGATGGGACACTGTTAACTTGCCTGCCAGGGGTAAACTCATGGGCCTGGGTATGGGGAGGGGTGGGAGAGGGCCTGTAAATCTGGGAAGGTACCAGGCTTGATACTGTCACAACCAAGGTATCTCCTCATTCCATGGAGTCTTTTTTCATGTTGGATGAATAACTCAGAGGAGACGTGAATAAAAGTGGAGTTATGTGCAAGATATTGATGGCTTGTTTTTGGTATAGTTTGGACACTTTGGAAAGTGAAGCAAGTGGAAGCCAATCTGTGAAAATCGGTGTGAAAAAGGTATGTAGGTGTGTTCTCTTTTATCTTACTGCCTTTTCATGTGATGTAGATTGGATGCAAATAGAGAAAATGTTCTGTAAAATATTTCCTTTCCTGTTTAGATTGGATGCAAATAGAGAATATGCTATCTGGCAACATTATAGAGAAAATACTTTTAGAAGATACATTTATAATTAACAAAACTTTTTATATCCAAAGTATTTTTCATTAAAGAGGCCTCAGATTTCTGGGTACCTTGTCAATTTTCACAGCATGCAGTTTTCATAGTATTGCCTTTAGGCTGTGACTTACAAAGGCAGAGTGAGCTGTCCAGAGTGTTTATTGGGGCTCCTTTATCTGAGTTTGTTCCTGCCCACGCATCATGTTGCCATCTTCCTATTATGTTCAGTTGTAAAGTTCAGAAATGAGCAGGGGGGACTTTCCAGTATCCTACTATTACAAGAAGAATTTTAAGTATTTGTATTTTTTTTTCTGAAATAATGAGGCTGGTTTCTTCTCATAGCCAGGAAGAAAACTAGAGTTCATTAGTAATGAATCTGAAAGCACTGAAGAAAGTGATATAAGAAGAAAAGTTAAATCAGCAGAAAAAATAAGTACACAGCATGAAACTATCACAACTACGGGATCTTCAGAACATTCAGAGAACTCAGCTGATTTGGCCACTGCTAAAGAGACAGGACCCCATGGTGCCCAGTCCTGTGTTGTCAGAGAGACTCGCACAACAGAAAGTCAACCGGTAAGAGTGTCTGCCATCCCCTTGGAGAAAAAATTTGCTGAAAGATGCTTGGGAGGGGCCAGCCCCAAAACAGCAGGTAAGCACTGTGGATTGGGAGCTGGATCCCACATGGTGGACCTTGGTTCAAATCCTGGTCTCAGTAGCTTGAAAAACATACTGGGCTTGTGGACATATGTGCCCCAAATCCTGACAGGATGGAGAAATGGAGGGGAAAGAAAAGAAAAAAGGAAAATGGAAGGAAAATAAAGCACCTTTTTCTCTTTCCTTCAGTTCTTAAACAATAAATTTTATATTTTTTATTATAAATATAATGTTTATCTTAGAAAATCTAGAAGTTACAGAAAGGAAGATAAAATCACCTTAACTCCATAACCCTCAAATAACCACCTTTTTTTTTTTAAAGAGTTATTTTATTTAACTTTATTTATTTTTTTTTTAATTTGACCAGAGATGGACAGAGCAATAGAGAGAAAGAGGGAGAGAGAGAAAGAGAGAGAGAGAGGGAAAGTGAGAAAGTAAAGCCGTCAGGCCTGGGACTTGAACCTCAGTCAGCCATGTGGGAGTCTAGTACCCTTAACCACCACGCCACCTACCAGCCCCAGTCACCATGTTTTTTGATCTGTGCTTTTTAGTCCTTTTACTGGGCATTTCTCAGCCTAGATGGGAATCATTTACTTGTCATTAAGTATTCCACTTTCTATTTTAATGAATGCATAGCATTCCACTCATAGATGGCCACGCCACAGAGTTTAGTTAATCTCTTACTAATAACTGCAATTTAAAACACTACCAAATTTTTTGTTCTTTTTTTTCTTTATTCTTGATGAAATATGTGTGTGTGTACATGAGACTGAGAGACAAATGAGTTACCCTCCACAGGGTCTGGTCATGCCACAATCCACTTTCTCTAGTTCTTCGGATCCACTGGATCATGAGCACTTGTGTACATGCCTGGTGTGTTTTCGGGCCAGCTGGGCCAGGGTTCAAACCATAGTTGCCCTGTTAGATCTGGCTTCACTTCAGTAGTGCATTATCGCTATGCCAACGAGCCAGCCCTGTGTTTTCATGGACTTCTTTGTAGCTAAACCTTTATGCGTACCCATGATCATTTTCTAAGGAAAAAAATGCTATACGATTTTTGGGTTGTGTTTGCTCTGTTCTAAGATTCTTGACACAATCTCTTTGTCCAAGTTCTTAATATGTCATTTTATTAATTAGTTTGGTATAATGTTTGGAATAAATTATTTTTTTATGTTTGAAAGTTTTTCTAAGTATAACATGTTCTTAATCCATTTTAACACTCCCCATCCACTAAACATACACACAGGTAACTGTAGTTTCTTAATATTTTTCCTGACTTTTGTTTTATACACATAAGGAAATATATTTTCTTATTTTTATTCCCCCCCTTTACTTTTTTTTTTTTCCACAAATAGAAGCATACATGTTGTTCTGCCTTATGTTGGTCCAAGTTGGGGATCATCCCACATGACTTAAATTTGTAGTTGTTGGGTTTAGTGGTCTATGTCAGTTGAGGTCAAGTTGATGGGTAATATATTCAGATATTATATCTCCTTACTGTTTTTCATTATCATTTTCTTTTGGTGAGGGAGGTGGGCTATTTCAGTTATATTAGAAAGGGTTTTCTTTTTTAACATCATGATTTTGTAGATTTTCTTTAGTTTTTAGTCTTGTGTTATAAATTCGGAAGCTGTATTTCCCCCCAAAGCTTTTTAAAAAATTACTACTAATATTTAACTGACAGATCATGATTGCATATATCTTATCAGGTACAATGTGATGATTTCATGTGCGTAGTGTGAAATAATTAGGCTAATGTAGCTATCACCTTATTTATCTTTTTCTGTGATGAGACATTTGAAATTTGAAATTCGCAGCCCTTTTGAAATATAAAACACGATAACATTAAATGTAGTCATCAGCCTGTACAATAGATCTCATGAACTTACTCCCCCTGTCTAACTGGAACTTCATACCGACATCTCCCCATACCCCAGCCCCAGGTAAGTGTCATTCTACTCTCTGCAGCTATGTTGTTTTCGTTCTTTGGTTGGTTTGTTGTTTATCCTCTGAGAGACAGAGACAGAGATCCAGATACAGGCTCCTGATGCTGCGATCGACCCCCACCTCAGCCAGCCTGGAGCATGGGCACATGTGCCTGGCATACTCCAGGAGGTCTCTGGATGCAAACCAGCAATGTGCCAATGCAGGACTGCCTCACAGGGCCCCTGTGTGCCTCTTAGCCACCGTCTGGCCCCTGAAGCTCTATTTTTAATTGCACACTCATTTAAGGTTGTTATGTCTACTTGGTGAACAGCATCTAATATTATTATGAAATGTACTTCTTCAAATACAGTTTTTCTGCCCCATCCTCTTCTTTTTCTTGAACTCTTCTGTTCTGATCTTGTAAAATACACATTTGGTCCTGTTCCCATTTATTGGCATTTCATTCCTAAAATCCTTAGACTCTCCATAGTGAATGTCTTTCTGTGTGCTGATTTGACTGATGGCTGGCAGTTCTTAGATGACTTCAGGATGAGTGCTGGTCACCAGAAAGACGTAGGTGGGATTAGAAGGTTAAAACTTTCAAGTTGGGGGTGGGTGTGGAAAGGGACTGAAGGTTAAGTTTATAAGTGGTTAATTATTGTAGGCAGTCACCATAAAAACCCAGAAGACAGGGTTCAGAGAGCTTTGGGAAAGGTGAACGTGTGAGGGATACTGGATGGTAGTTCCACCAGAAAGGACGTGAACACTACACACCCCTTCCCCTTCCTCTGCCCTGTGAGCTCTTCATCTGGTGCTCATTGGTGTCCTTTATAACGTCCTTCATAACACCCGGGATATGTTAGTGTTGTCCTGAGTTCAACCATGAACCACTCTAGCAAATGAATGGGATCTGAGGAGGGGTCATGGGAACACTGTTCATTGACTTACAGCTGGTCAGAAGCACAGGCAGAGGGGTATAAAATTGGCGTCCGAAGTGCAGGCGGTTTTGTGCAGCCACACTACTGTGGGGAACCACGATATGCCACCCCATTACTTCTCTGGCATATTTTTAGGTTGACTAAAAAAAAAAAAAAAATGTTTCATCAAATAAATTTAATTTAATAAATAAATTTACAGTTTACATTAGTAAAGCCACCTGTCCTAGCAGGCCTCCTGATACTACCCTCTTAACCTTTCTTGAAACTGGACGAAGGAAATTAGAGACTGTCAGCTGACCCAGAAAGACAAGACTCTTTGCACTTCCTGTCCCTCACTTTTTTGCTGTCGTTGTTGGCTTAACTCCATACCTCCTCCGTCCTGTCTTGAATCCCCACCTGGCAGCTTGAGAAACACGCCAGATGCGTGGACATGGCCAAAATCCTAAAGGAAGGGAGAAATGGAGGAGCAGGGATTGTGGCGTGATCGTCTCCCACGGGAGATGCTTTCTCACTTTCCCTGTCCGTTTCTCCCCTACCCTGCAGTGAGCACACATGCCCTCTGGCAAATTAAAGTAAACACACTTTGTTTTTTCCCTCTGTGCTTAGATACATTTTAAATTATTTGATCTAGTCTTCATTTAGATCCCTGAGACTCTCTGATAATTTTTTTCTAACCTCATTTCTCTCTAATCTGCAAATTAGGATGCATTTTTATTCCTCTGTGCCCTGTGGCAAATAACAGAAATGCCGGAGTCTGGGTAATTTCTGGAGGGTTACTCAGCTCTTGATCTGGAGGTCTGAGGTCCAGGGGCTACATCTGGTGAAGGCCTTTCACTGTAAGTATTGAGGCATCGCCGGGCATCACGACATGGTGGAGGGCAGGAGAGTACATAGCAGAGAGTGTATGTACCTGTGTGTCTTCTCCGCCTCTGTCCCTGTCCTTAGAAACTCACCAGCATTCAGGCGGAGGCCCCCTCCTGGTAACCTATGCAATCCCAGTTAGCTCTCAAAGGTGTCACCTCTTAATCCCACTTAATTAAGTTCCTCTTAGTGTTTTCACAGTGGCTCACCAAATTCAACACACAAAATTTGAGGGCACAGGGACTAGCAGTTGGTGTAATGGCTATGTCGCTGGACTCCCATGTAGTCAACTGTGGTTTGAGTCCCAGACCCGGTGGCTTAAACCACATCGGACGTGTGTGTGCGTGCATGCCCAAGATCCTGAGAGGAGAATGGAGGAGAAGGGATTGCGGCATGGCCATCCCCCCTGGGGGGTGATTTCTCGCTTTCTGTTTCTCTGTCCTCTGTCCCCTTCTGTCTTTCTGGTGAGTGCATGCACCCTACAGCAAAAATCACTAAAAAAAAAAAAATTTTTTTTGAGGGCACATATTCAAAACCACAGTATTCTGTTTCAGGTTCACTGGCCATTCTTTTATAATTCACAGTTAAATCTATAAGTAGTGGACTGAATGGTGCTTCCTGAAACATACCCTTGTCCTAATTCCAAACTATCCTGGGTTATATGGGTGGGCCATGAGTATCATAAGAGAGGCAGAGGGATAGACACAAGAGGAGAGGGCAATGTGAAGACAGAGGCAGAGACGGGCGTGATGTGGCTGCAAGGTTCAGAATGTCACAGCCACCAGAAGCTGGAAGAGACCCGACATGGGTTTTACCCCTAAGCCCTGGGAAGGAGTATTGCCCTGCTCTTATCTTGACTTTGACCCACTGACACTGACCTCAGACTTCTGGCCTTCAGAACTGTCAGAGAGTAAATTTCTGTTTGAAGCCACCAAATTCGTGGTAACTAATGCAGCCACGGAAAACAAATACACCACCCAGTGACCTTTTTTTTTTTTTTTTAAGTTATATGCTTTTTGGTTTTAGAATTTACATTTGTTTTTTTTTAAGTGCTTTCTATTTCTCTGATGAGATTCCCTATTTATTTAGTTATTAAGACCATCATTGCATTTAATCCTGTAGATACATTTATGATACCACCTTTGAAACCTTTGTTTTCTGAAGTCCATTATCTAGGCCTTCTCAAGGTCAGTTTCTGTTGAGTGTTTTTTATTCATGGATCACATTTTCTGGTGCACAAGAGGTCATGTGCACTTACTGGAGGAGAGAGAGAAAGCACCTCCCATGGGGATGGTCACACCATGGGCGCTTACCATTTCTCTCTTTGGGATTTTGGGCAAACAGACACATGTACCCTGTGTGTTTCTCAACTCGTAGGGTCCAGGACTTGAACCATGGGGGATCCAACCACCATGCCATTGACTGGCCCTTGTGCGACTTTTTTAATCTAGTACTTTTCATTTTTATAACAGACATTGTTGGTAAACTGAGACTGAATTATGTACTTGTGAATAACGTTGAGTCTTCTAGGAGGTAGCTTGATGACTGGCCACTCAACTTGAAGTTGGGTAAGCTTGGTTTTATCCTTGGTTGAGTCAGTTTGTGGAGAGTGAGTTTTCGAAGCCTCCTAAACTTAATGGGACTCGGTTTCTGTCTACGCTTTCAATTGCTGTTTAGCAAATTACCACAGACTTAGTGATTTAAAACAATATCCATCTGTTATCTCACCAGTTCTGGAGGTCAGCTAGATTCCTAGCTAAGTTCAGCTTAGCTGAACTCTGTCTCATAAGGCTGAAATCTAGGTGCTAGCCAGGACTGAAATCTGTCTCAGAGTCTTCATCTCACATCATTCAAATGTTGGCAGAATTCAGTTTTTTTGCAGTTGAGTATTGGGGTCGTTTTCTTTGGTTGTACACTAGCTGTCACCCTTTGCTCCTGTCATGTGGCCTCTCACAGTTACACCAGCCTGCATCACCAAAGCCAGCCAGAGAATCTCCAGTCTGCTAACGTGTAGTTGTATATGAAGTCATCTCATCCAGGGCAGAGGGCAGGGATTTATACAAGTCATCTTAGGATTCCGCTTACCACACCTCCAATCTGAGTCTTCCAGGTGGTCTAGGACACTATTCTAGGGCAGTGTTTCATCACTGTCCTTCCTAAGAAACCTTCATAGACATTTTTTCCTGAATCATTTGCTTTCCTCCTTAACAAACACATAATTAAAAATGTAAACTATGAGTATACTGTATATCTCTTTATCTACTGGGACCCTTTGCAGCTTACAACCATTGTAATATCTAAGTTTGTTTTATTTATTTGCTTGCTTGCTTGCTTGCTTGCATCCTCCGTAGAAGCCAGTTTTTGCCCTCCTGGGAACAGTGTCTCCGGGTCTGAGATACATGTGCTAGCATATGGTTCCTACTCCTACAAGTAGTAGAGCTTAGTAGTGGGGCTTTGCATTTTCCACATCTGATCTCCTGCACTGCTTGTCCTGTTACCTGTTAGGTTCTAGCTCCATGACAGCGGCTCTCTGGTGAATTTGATGTCTCACCTTGCTCACGGTACTCGGGCTTTAGGGGATACACCCTGTCTGCCTCAGGTTGCTGGAGCTCTCTTCTGAACAGCTTCTTCCAAGAGCTCCAGCTGTTCCCAGCTATGAACTCTCTCTTGCTGAGCAGGACTGCCATGCATTGCTCAGGCTTCAGCTTGTTGTGCCACTGCCTGGAAGCTTTCCCTGGGCCTAAGGGTGTTTATGGTGTCCTCCGTCTGAGTTTCCTTTTGCCACGGAACTCAGTCTTGTATTGTTTATTGTCCAATACCAGAATAAAGTTGTCATTGTCTCCTCCCATCTTGTGTGTGTGTGTGTGTTTGTTGTTTGTTTGTTTGTTTTTAATGGCAAAAGAGCTAGTTCAGAAGCTGTTCATAGCTGAGAGCAAAAAATTGACCCCCAAGGCAACAATTATATAAGTCAACTGAAATGTTTGTCTGCTTTTTTATTTTGTGACAGTTCTATTTAATTTTTTGCAGTGTTTCGTGTGTGTGTGTGTGTGTGTGTGTGTGTGTGTGTGTGTAGTTGTTGCTGGTGATGTGTACACTCACCAGAGAGATATAGGAAGAAAGAGAATGGGGAAAAAGCAACTGCCCCCCACAATGAGGGCTGGTTGCAATCCCTTCTCCATTTCTCCATCCTGTTGGGATTTGGGGGTGCAAGCACACACATGCACACACGCGCACACACATGCACACGTGCACGCACACACACACACCTGGCACGCTTTTCAAGCTGCTGAGGCTATTATTCGAACCATGTGGTCGGGTCTGTGGGATCTGCTTACCTTAACCACTAGGCCGTGGGGCAGGCCTTATTTCTTTATATTAATTTAGGTAATTTATATATAATCCAACCAACTACTATATTAACTTAAAACTCTCTTAAATGACAATTATAGCTAACATATTGATAGAAAACAATACTTAAGTAAGAATGTTTTTCTTTCTTTTTCCTTTATTGTAGAAAACTCAGAATAAAGGGAAGCTGTCCCGTGGCAAAAAGAAGAAATCAAGAAGTGAAGCCATAGACCCAGGTGCAGAATGGAGTTTCATACTTCATTATTCAATCAAGAATTTAACAAAAACCACAATTTTCTAAGAATATAAACTTGCCACTTTAGAAATTAAGAATGCATAACTTCATAGTTTTTTTTATGATATTTGTCATGAAACTATTCAACATATAACAAAAGTAAAAGAATTTTATGTTATATAGTTATATTCATCCAACCTAAATTTTATAGTTAACATCGTTTTAAGTTTGCTCATTTATTCCATGAGAAACAGAGAGAAAGAGAGAAGCACCCCCAACATGATCTTTTTTTTTTTTTTTTAACGTCTTTTTTTTACCATAGGGCACATGCTTGCCAGAGAGAGACAGTGAGAGCAAACGTGCACAATCACTCCCTATGGGGAATGGCCACGCCACAGTTCCTTGTCCTCCGTTCTCCTCCTGGGATTCTGAGTAGGCACACACACATGCCACAAGTGATTTTGAAGCCTCCAGGTCCAAGACTCAAAAGCAGTTGGCCATGTAGGAGTCCAGTGCCTTAACCATTGTGCCACCTGCTGTCCCCCCAACAGGGTCTTTATGCCACAGCCCACACACCTGGCGGCCCAGATGATGGGCACGTGTACCCAGCTGGTGTGTACGGGGAGGCCTCAGGACCTAACCCTGGGACCTTCCCATGAGGCACTAGCATTGCCGAGTATTGCATCAGCACTGTGCTACCAGCTGGCCCCACAATGAGCATTTCACTCTGGCTTTATCACCCAGTCTATCCGTCCATGAATACATTTAACATTTTTAATGCATTTTAAAATAAATTACATATGTACACTTCTGATAAACTTCAGTATGCACATGATTAACTAGAGTTTTTAGTTTTTTCTTTAATATGAAATGCCCTGATCTTAAGTGTGCTTAAGTGTGTAATCACTGAGTTTGGGGAAAACCAAACAACTATTTTACTCAACGTCTGTTCATGTATAAATGCTTACCAGTACTCCAGAAAGTTCCTCATGCCTCCTGCATGTCAATCCCCACCCCCATGTCTCCAGAGGAAATTGCTTTAGGAACTATTCTACCATAGATTAGTTGCCTATTCTAGAATCTCATATAAATGGAGTCATATAGAGTGTACTCTTTTTTTTTTTTTTTTTTTTTTTGAGAGGTTTTTGATATAGGGTACATGTGCTCACCAGAAAGACACAGACAGACAGAAAGCGAGAAATCACCCCCCGAGGGGATGGCCATGCTGCAGTCCCTTCTCCTCTCGGGATCTTGGGCACACACTCACACGCACCCGGTGTGAGGTTAAGCCACTAACCGCGGTCGACTACATGGGAGTCCAGTGACATGGCCATTACGCCAACTGCTGCTCCCTAAAGTGTACTCTTGTATAAGGCTTTCACTCAACAGAATTTTTTGAGATTCATCCATATTATTTTGTGTCATTTTTATTTCTGAGTAGTATTCCATTGTACAGCTACACCACAGTCTACCATACTTTTACTGATGAACAACTTAGGTATTTCCAGGTTTTGGCTATTATGAATAAAACTGCTATGAACATTTTTTTTTTTTTAAGAATTTTTGTTGTTGTAATTTTTTAAAAATTATTTCATTTCATTTATTTATTTCATTTTAATTTGACCAGAGAGAGACACAGTGAGAGAGAGAGAGGGAAAGTGAGAAAGCAAGCCGCTAGGTCCAGGACTCGAACTGCAGTCAGCCATGTGGGAGTCCAGTGCTCTTAACCACCACGCCATGTGCCAGTCCCTATGAATATTCTTACATACTTTTCTTGGTGAATATATATTTTCATTTCTCTTGGGAAGTGAAGTTGCTCTCTCCCTCTCTGGTCAAATAAAAATAAATAAGTAAATAAAGTTAAATAAAATAATTATTTTAAAAAAAAAAAAAAGACTTGTCTCAGCTTACACAGCTGTAAGTAGGTTTAGCTGGTGTTCCAGGTATCTATTAACATGTAACAAATTACCCCATGACTTATCATTTAAAACAGAAGTCTCAAAATTGTGATATGCAGTGTGGATGTGGCCCACTGTGGTTTTGAAAATAAGCTTTTATTAGAACACGGCCAGATTAATTTGTTTATGTCTTGCCTGCGGCTGCTCTCACATTACAATGGCAGAGTTGAGGAGTTGGCCCGCAAAGCCAATAATATTTACTGTCTGGCACTTTATAGACGTTTTTCAACCCCTGGTTTACAACCACCACCATTTTGTTGGCTCACAGTTTTGCTTTGAGCCATTCCGCCCACATGCCTATATTCAGCTGGGGGCTGGAATACAGTAGACGGTGGACGGCTCTGCTCAAGTGTTTGGTGCCTTGGTGCCCTTGCCTGTAACCTTAGCACATGACTGCTTTGGGCTTTTCTGTTATTCGACAGTCAGATTTTGACGTAATAGTTGACTTCCAATAGGGAGCATTTCAGGAAGTGAAATGAAACTATAGGTCTCTTAAAATCTGGCCTTGGACATGGGCCAATGTCATTCTTTCATGATGGAAGA